AAAAAAAAAAAGTCACTGTTGAAAATTTTCCTACAATCTCTCTTTATAATGGCCGTGAAACAGGGCTACACACAACTGTAAAGTTAAAAGTTTCCATGAATGACACATGAGTTTTTCATTTAATGAATCTGAGGTGAATGTTTTAGTGAAAACCCCAATTCCTCGTGCAAAACCTCTGACTTTACAATTCAGACAATACAATACGTCAGCACTCACTTATACCAAAGAACAAAACCTTTGTCTGATCGAAAATTTCAAGCCTGTCTATAGGGGAAAAAAGAGGCTTCTGGTACTATTATATGTTTGTCATTTTCAAACTATCGATTGGTGCTAAGCAGGATCCCACGGCTCACATTTACCCTTGGGGAGCCATCAATCTATAAGCATCAAATTCCCTTTGAAATGTCCAAATTTAGAACAAAGTTCCCTTTTTTGTTCCCTTAAAATCTTGTTTATTTTAGTCCTCTCCGCCACTAAATGGCTATAAGAACATAGGATTAGCCTGAGCGCAATTTCAACCTTTTACACACTTTACAGAGAATGGCATCTGTCTCCTTCCGTCTGGCTTTCTACACGCGGTGCTCGACCAACACAAAAGGCAAGGAGAAGAACAAAAAGAAACTCAACTGTGTGAAAATCAATGGGACTAAGAGTTTTTCGCCGTCGAAAGTGGATTTGTTGAGCCAAAATAGTGGACTGGCTCTCACGTCTGTTGATTCTGAAGCAAACGTCTATATCCCCAAAGAGCAGTTTCGACAAAATATTCCTACGAAGAAGCAGTTAGTCGATCCATTTCGCCAAGGGATTATCATCGAGGAGGGAGTCGGATACAGGCAGACCGTTGTTATAAGGTCTTACGAAGTTGGACCTGATAAAACTGCAAAAATTGAGAGTATTCTCAACCTGCTTCAGGTGATGAATTTCCAGTTTTCGAATTTTCAGGAATTCTGTTTTATTTTCCATGCAGAAGTTTTTAAGGCGTTTAATTTGAAAATATGTTCAGGAAACAGCATTGAATCATGTATGGATGTCAGGGCTTCTTGGTGATGGATTTGGAGCTACCCATGGAATGATGCGAAATAATCTCATTTGGGTTGTTTCAAGAATGCAAGTTCAAGTTGATCATTATCCAATCTGGTACTCATCTTCAAAGCACAAAAAGGCACTGTATTTCTCAGAAATACGGGCAAAAGAATAAGAACTTAACTTAAAAATTATTGACATTCAAAATCTGTTTCATAACCAATTAGTCATGTCGATAGGGGTGAAGTAATGGAGATAGACACTTGGGTTGGAGCATCAGGGAAAAATGGAATGAGGAGAGACTGGCTACTCCGAAGTCAAGCCACGGGCGTCATTTTTGCACGTGCAACGAGGTTCAATCTCGACTGCCTAATAATCTGTTATGATAAAACGATGAAATTACTCTCATTTTTAACAAGGATTCGGTTCTGGAACAGTACGTGGGTGATGATGAACCAACAAACTCGGCGCCTATCAAAAATGCCAGATGAGGTAAGGGCTGAACTTTCACCGTGGTTCATTGAGAAACAAGCAATTAATGAAGAAAGCCACGAAAAAATAGACAAGTTGGATGATAAAGCGCTTTATGTGAACTCAGGCTTGAAGGTGAAATTTATCGCAATAAACATGGCAAGCTCTTATTTATGCGAATGATTTCACTGATATACTGCAGCTTTGTCATTTGCAGCCAAAGAGAAGTGATTTGGACATGAACCAACATGTAAACAATGTCAAGTATGTTCGATGGATGCTCGAGGTGAACATGAGATAATCACTGTCTTTTGATCTTTGTTTGGTCGAATAATGAATTGGGATAACTAAATCTTGAATTTTTAATGATCTTTTCAGGCAATTCCTGATGAATTTTTGGAGAATCACCAGCTCTCTAGCATTACATTGGAATACAGAAGAGAATGTGGGAGTTCAGATGTAGTTCAATCCCTTTGTGAGCCTCAGCA